GACCAGCGCTCGGGCACCTCCTTGGTCTCCTCATCTCTGCAGTGGTGCTAACAGGGAGAGTCTGAGCCTTCCTCTCCCTGCCTTCAAGTTGATAGCTCTTTGTGACGCTACAGGACAGAGTAGAACCGCCCTGTTACTAAAGATCCATTCTGAGCTTCATAATCTAATAAATAGCGAAAATCACATTTGTGCTAGGCAGTGAACTAGGTTCTAGAGATGGAACAATAAGCAAGATAAATAAGTCCTGCCTTCGTGAAGCACAGTCTGTTGTCTTTTGTCTAATATCTTTATTAAAGCTATTATTACATCTATAAATGGTAGCATAGGGACTTTGCATGTCACAAGTAGTTTTGAATTTTTCAATATTTTTCTATAATAAGACCCCTGGTCAGGTCAAAGATGCCTTCATGTAAGAGATCATATTAGATATTACCAGGATAAAGGTGAGGACTCAGATTCACCAACTAATTTGTATCTCTGTCTTTAGGAGACTCTAGTAAGGTAGTAGAAGTAGATAACATGTTTGTATGCATTTATTTACTTGCATACAGTTGACTTACAGACATTCTAGGCCTTCTAGTTTCATAAATGTATATGCATGCAGGTTTGTTTCGTAAACAATAAGCAAAATTATTCCATATTGAAAGACAGAAACTGTGGAGTCCGGCCCCACAACCGAATGGGTCCCGAGGAGCGGCGGTGCAATTAGGGAAGAAAAGGACAGCAGACAGCGGGGACGGGAGCTCATTTTCCCAGTGTCAGGATCAAGAGAGCGACTGTATTTTCCAGAGGGTATATGTAGTCTTGGGTTTGCAAGCCCCCATTAAGCACATACATGCTAGAGTGGGCAGTGGCTTAATCCCAGGATGTCCCTGAGCTCACTGGGGGAGAACCCCATGACCAGTATTGGAGGCAGACATTAGAAGGGGCTGACTGCCCTTTGATCGGGAGGACAATAGAACTTGTTTGCTCTCAGAGACAGGTAGCCTCCGGCTGCATAGTGAGCAGCCGTGTGCTTGTAAGAGGCATCTTCAAAGTAGCACTAGTAGGGAGGATATTGTGGGGATGGTTTTTCGTCTGGAGAATGTGACTGGGAGTCATCTCTACCTCACAACTGTGAGGGCCTTCCCCCATGGGAGTCAGCCTTCCAGACCCTGTGACTATGAGCATAGAGAATTTGACAGCATACATTCTCTTCCGGGTCCTCAGTTTCCCACAAGGAACAACACTATTTTGAAAGATAGGAACACTATTTTGACTCCCAAGATCATTCTCCCTTTGACTGTATTTCTTCTGTCCATATGAAGAGATTAATATATTCAGATGAATATATAAAGATGGAGTCATGACCCCTATCAAGTGTGGAGGTACCACACGTTCATCCATTTAATTACAAATTATGGCTGGGAATTATCTCTGAACTACACCCACAATAGTCCGGTACCCCTGTAGGCCTTGTCTAGTCAGGATCAGGGATGGCTTATGGTCCTGGAGAAGGTCTTGGGAATTCGAGTAACTCTCAGAAGAATCAACCTCCCAATGTGACCTAATTATAATGAGCTCAGTCCTCTACCCACTGGAACTAACAGGGCAGATAGATGGCTAGCGTGACAACACTCAGCTCACTGCCAAGTCTATTCTAACTCACATATAGTATCGTGTAGTAAAACCGCCCTGTAGGCTTCCAAGACTACATCTCTTCAGGAGTAGAAAACCTCCTCTCATTCCTGTGGAGTAGCTGGTGGTTTCAGGTGACTGACGTGTGGGTAGCAGCCCAACACTAATCCACGGTGCCCCAGGGTTCCCATGACAGCACTGGGTCCTCTGTGGTCATGGCCCCATTGTCCTCAAACCAACTCCGACTGGCGATCGAAAACCAAACTCCCTGCCACTGAGTCTCTTCTGACTCACCACAACCCTGTCTATCAAGCAAGGTCGAACGGCCCCGTGTGGGTTGCCTAGATTGTAACTCTTCATATGAGTAGACAGCCTCTGTCTCCCTTGGACTCAGGACGAGTGCCTTGTTATTGGCAACAACAGAGAAAAGGTGGGTTTTGCAAACACTGGTTATTGGTGCACAATAGTGACCAGAAATCCATATTTTGATTTAACAGTAGAGGGCCAAAGTAAGTTGGCATGGAAGAAAAATAGCGTCGGTTATATTATGTACAAAAAGTTAATGGTTGAAAATTGGGGGGCGGGGGTGGTGGTGGGTGTAAATGCAGTATCTTCCCATTTGGAACACTGAATAGACTATGAGGTTTATGCTCACTGGAAAGCCTTTAACAAAACACAACTTCAATCAGTGGGACCATGCTGCATTAGTGATCAAAGCCTCTCAGGTTTTTTCCAGTTGAGAGGATTAAGTGACCTATTGTTTGGGGTTTTTTAATTGATTTCAATATTAAAGTCTTTGTTTTGGTAACCCAGAGCATAGACTCTAATGTAATCTTTAGACCCAAAATTAGTATCGTGTTAAGATTGTGGTTTTGTGAACCATGCCGTGTTTAAAAAAAGAACTTGAATCTCCCCCCAAAAATTTACAAAATACATCATTATAATCCATTACGGGAATGGCAGATCAAAACCACAGTGAAGTGTGTGTGTGTGTGTGTGTGTCTGTCTGTCTGTCTAAAATTAGTGACACCACCAGTGCTCGTGAGATTGCAGAGAAACTGAACGCTCTTACGTTGTGGTGGGAATGTGAACTAGGACAGCCACTTGAGAACACAGTGGCAGTGTCTTTTAGAGACAAAATAGGCAGCTTCCACACAGCTCAGCAACTACCTCATTGCCTGCTGGGATTCACTGTATATACTCAGGTAAAGCCGCATTTTTCAGCACAGTTTTTGTGGTAAAATTAGGTGCCTCGGCTGGTATTCGGGTCAGCTGATACTCGAGTATATACGGTAACTCTTACACAGAAACTTGTAGAAGCCCCCAAACTGCTAACAACCCTGATGTCCTTCAATGGGGAAATGGTTAAACACACTAAGGTGCATCAATAACATGGACCCCTACTCAGTATTAAAAGGAGTGAATTATTGGTACTCACAACAACCTATAGGAGTCTCCAGAATATTATGCTGAATGAAAAAGAAGGGGAAAAAACATCAATCCCCAAATGTTACATACTGTATGATTCTATTTATATAGAATTTATATTGTTGTTTTATTATTCCTTCTTACTAATTTGATCTTGTTGCTTTGTCTTCTGAGGTGTATGAATATTCCTTTATCTCCTGCAGCTTCTTTAATAAGAGCAAAATTGGTTTAGAATTGTTATACAATTAAAAGTGAAAGCAGATTTTTTTCAAGCAAAGCCACTCTTGTCTCTGCAGCCAGCTGCTACTTCTGGCTCGTGTACCTCTCTGCCTGTCCTGGAATTGTGCAGGGTGCAGTGCCAGTCACCTTAAATAGCACAGCCAGTCACACCGTAGACATTGAAATTAAAGACAATAAAGATGGGCTTCTGGGTTCCTTCTCTTCTGATGCCCATCTGCAACCCAACCTGGTAAACTGAAATGCACTCTTAAATGAGTGGGCTAGAACCTCTCCCTTTCTCCTAAACCCGTTCCAGCTTTCTTAACGGTGAAAATAGGAAACTAAAAGGGACTAAGTATTACCATATTGAACTCTCCATAGATTCCAGCATCTTGGTGTTGTACATTACACCTCCCTAAAATGTTACACTGAATGCATAATTACAGGATGGGACAAAGAGGGCTCACACTTGGAGCTGTGTTTCATTCAGGCAAAGACGGTGTGATGAAGGGACTTGTTAAGTCAAATGACTGGCATTCCTAACATTCTTCATCTTGATACCATTTTAGCCTGCAGAACACCCGCTAGTATTGAATACTATGGGTGCCTTTTATATTGCCCCAGCCATAAATGACCATGCTTGCTGCCTCATCACTTCTGTTCCCTGTCACCCAGAACGATCCGCTTTGAGTTAACGGATCTCAAAAGGGACGATAAACAGTTGTCGTCGTTAGGTACCGCTGAATCGGTTCTGACTCGCAGCAATCCTGTATACAACATAGAATGAAACACTGGCCCTCCTGCTCCAGCCTCCCAGTCTTTCCTGTGTGTGAGTCCATTGTTGGCACCCACCGAGTCAGGCCATCTTGTTGAGGCTCTTCCTTTTTTTTTTTTTTTTTTTTGCTGAGCCTCTTCTTTCCCAAGCTTAATGCCCTTCCCTGGGGACTGGTCCCTCCTAACGATAACACCAAATATGTGAGATGAAGTGTCACCATCCTTACTTCTAAGAAATATCCTGACTGTACTTCTTCCAAGAGTGTTTGTTTGTTCTTCTGACACCATGTGGTATATGCAGTTTTCGTTGCAAAGACTATAATTCTTTCTTCTTCAGTTGTATCCATTGTCCTGCTTCCACATACATAGGAGGCAATTGGAAATGTGATGCTTTTGAATAGGAGATCCTTTGCGGCAGACTTACCCAGTGCAGTACGTCATTTGATTCTTGACTGCTGTATCCCTGGTTGGACAGCTTCAGTAATTTCTTCATTTATCGTGATGTTTATTGATCCAGGTGTGAGGATTGGGTTTTCGTTTGTTGACATGTAATCCACACTGAAGATGATGGTCTTTGATCTCCATCAGGGAAGCTTCCAGCCTTCTTCACTTTCAGCAAGCCAGGTTGTGTCGTCTGCATGTTGAAACTTGCTAATAAGATCTCCTTATTAACAGGAAGAGGCTGGGTTTGTGTTCTTCATATTTCCTTGAATTATTTGCTCAGTATATATTGAATAAGTATGGTGCAAGGTCACAAACCTGACACCTTCCCCAATTTTAAATTGACAATAATAGGTACATATTAATCTTTTTAGTCCTGCTACATATTGCATTTGACCTACCCTGGTTGATTTGTAGTGCACTGTGGACTAGGCATTTGGGCTTGTTTGGATTTGTTTGGCTTATTTCAGACCTGTAGTTCTCATAGTACCCATTATACTCGTCAAGTAATTATCACCAACTGCCAGCGAGTCGATTCCTAGCCCATGGCAACCCTCTCGGACAGAGCAGAACTGCCCCAGAGGATTTCCAACACTGTAGAGCTTGACAGAAGCAGACTGCCTCGTCACTCTCCTGAGGAGTAGCTGGTGAATTCAAACTGCCAGCCTTTCCCTGGCAGCCCTGCTTCCTCCTTAGATGACCAGGGCTCCTTGAGCAATCACGACACGCCAGTAAGCTTCATGGCCTCACAAGGACTCTTAATGCCTATGGTGGGCTGCAGCATGCTACAGCTACCACTAGGGCAGTGGGTCCTCCACAGACAGAGGACAGACAGGAGGAGGGGAGGTCTCCTCTCCATTTATACAGCAACGGGAGAAGTCACAGTGGGTGCGGAGGTTTGAAGACTAATGCTTTCGAAGAAGCTGGGTTTGTGTTGTTTCGGTTTCTTTTGAAAGGTAAAGAAGGAAACATTTATAGAGGTCCTACTATGTACCTCTTCCTTTAGGTAGTTGTGTTAGCTATTGTTCTTTATTTGTTCTCAAATGATACATGTTGTAATGTTAACATATGACTAGCACTTTGAAGTTGCTATCACGAGTTCTTATACATTATTTCATTCCTCACGATCATCCAGAGATGAGAAAATGAAAACTCCAAAGTAAAATAATAGAAACAAACTTCCATACGGCAGAGCCGCTCTTCAGAGCAATTGTTCCAAACCCTTTGCTCCTTCTCCTAGGCCACTTTGCTTCTGAAAGTGTGTTGTCTCCCAGGGTTGTCAGTGGTGGGTAAAACGTCCTTGGAGGGGCAGTGACCCTGGAAAATGGATGTGACCAGACTATGAGGGCCCATGTTTCCTTGCTGATGTTTTATATTTGCTCCCATTTCAGGATGGCAGTGGCACGGAGAACTATGTTCCAGAAAGGGGAGGTGCATAACAAGCCGTCAGGATTCTGGGGCATGATAAAGAGTGTTACCACTTCAGCTCCAGGAAGTGAAAGTATCCTTTATCCTTCTGCTTCATCATCCTTGTTCTCAACCCTGGACCAAAGGCAGAAGAAAAAGCAGTAGTATTGGGATAGTCCTTTTAAGGTACCCACCTGCAGCAGAGTCCGAGCGGCCACCACATGAGCTCATGAAAGCATTGTCTTCGAGCTGAAGGGCGACCTAGCAAGTCAGTCTTCCCATTTTACAGATGAGAAAATGGACCCAGAGAGGTTAGATCCCACAGTGATGGCAAAGCGAGGACCAGAACTTCGGTCTCCTCTTCATAGTTCTTTCCACTACACTATTCAATTTCCCCACCCCTGACAAGCCCACGCCAAGCATAATGGCTCACCAAAGTGTACAGTTGGTGTATGAGATAGCAAAAACCCTTTCTTTTCTTAGCAATTAGCTCTGCTTCTCCTGTGACTTTTTGGTTTAAAGAACTAGGTTTCAGTTGGCCAAACAGGTTACAGATGTTAAACTAATTCCCAAATTGAGTGATCAAGTCTCTCTGTGGCTAACAGGCATTAGATCAAGGACCAGGCGTGTGATATATCACACGCCTGCTTTCTCCGTAGCGTGGGGGAATACAACCCCCTTTTATTTCATTGGAGGAAAAGAAGGGTGAGTTCTCGCTATGAATTATGACCTGTAATTCTGATGTCAAATGCAAATAAAAATAAGACCAAGGAAAGGCAGAATAGTTATAGCCCAGGAAGAATGGCTAATTTAGATTAATTTCATAAACATTACATGCCTCCTTGTTCCTTGGTGGTGCTGTCGGGTAAGCATTGAACTACTAACTGCAGAGTCATCTGTTCAAACCCACCCTGCTCCAGGGGAGGAAGATGAGGCTGCCTTCTCCCATAAAGATTTACAGCCTTAGGAACCCTATGTAGAATAGCTATGAGTCAGAATTGATCGATGGTAGTGTGTTTTGAGTATTCCCAGGGAGGAAATGATCACAGAGTATATAATCCCCAAAGAGCTCACCATGCCATAAAAGTTACAAGTTTCATTTGAAGTTCTTTTTGTGAAAGTAAGTCAATAGTAGTATCAGAATCACTTAACCTTTCTGCGTCCTTGATTCCTAAGTAGGCATAATAAAAATAACTGCCTCACTAAGTTTTTGTAAAGTAGCGTAGCGTAATGGAAAGAGCAGGCCTTGGAGCAAAGCCCTTCTGCCTTTGCATCCACACCTATTTGCTGTGTGCCTTTGAGCAAGTGATTTAACTCTCTGAGCTTCCCTTTCCTTATCTGCAAAGTGGCTAGTCACACACTGAATGGGACTATGGCGAGAACGACGGAAGGTGGTGCCTGTAAAGAATCAAAGAAACGATGCCAAGAGAGCCCAGCCCCTGTTAGGACTCAGAAAATAATCGTTTTCCATTCCTAACATATTTACTCAAATAATACAGAAGAAAATATTTTCAGGACTAGGTGTTGTTATTACTATGTCGCCATTTTGTAGAGTTCTCAGGTTAGATTGGACTTACTCTGACTAGAACGAAAAGCCAGCAGATAAACCCATCTGTCTGAGCCTCCTGAGCTGGTGAAAAGCCGAGCGGTGGTGTTGAGTGGTGAGTCTCCGTGTTGAGTGGCTTGCACACACCTGTCCTGGGAGGCTGGGAACAGTGCTCTCAAGAAGCTCTGCCGGCTGGACAAACAGAGGCTGCTCTTGAGATCTGTACAGGAGACACCAGTGGCAGATGCCTTCTTTGTGGCCATTTCTTGAGACTCTTGTGATTTAACCCTTGATGCCCATTTTGTGCCAGATCTTACACTGATTCAGCAGGAAGTGGATGCTTTGGAAGAACTAAGCAGGCAGCTCTTCCTGGAAACAGCCGATCTATATGCTACCAAGGTACTGAGCAGGGAGGCTGAAGGGTGGTTTTTGCCAGTGTGGTTGAAAGAGAACAAGACCAAACGGCCTTCAATGCGTCCCTCCTTATGCCCAAGGACCTCAAGAGACCCCACATAGCTTTCATGTCAGCCAGAGCATCAGGGATGAGGGTCTGCACCCTTCAGCCCCTAGCAAAGTCGTTCGTTGGTAAAGCACCCTTAGCAGTGGAAATTGAGAATTCAGGCCTTTTAATATCCAGAAAGGTGGCACACACCACTTCTGATTCACCCAAGATAGAGATGGCAGCTCTTCTGAATCTTTCATTCCCAAACATATTAGTGATATTTTAATAGCAATATACACCTGTCTGCCATTGTTTAGTCCTATTTTAAAGACTCTAGATCAAGAAGTAACTTACCTGAAGAAAGGAACTCTTGTATGTATATCTAAGATGAAATATTATTTAAATACGGAAATGTACTTACTAAGGCTGCAAACTATTTTCATTTTTTTGAGGTTACCTTCACACAGGTGGCAGTGTAGGATTGATTATAACACAGAATTTCAAGTCAGCTAGATGGGAACCCAGATCCCTTCTCTTGAGCTGTGTGTGTGATGGTAAGCACATGACTTAACCTCTCTAAGCCTCAGTTTTCTCATCTGTAAAATTAATAAAACATTTCATAAAGGTTATTATCAAAGCTGACAATGCACAGGTGTTTATTCCCAGTCTCTAATAGAAAGTAAGCATTGGATCAACAAATAACCCCCCTCCCAGGGGAGAACAACAGGAAAGTGGGGGAAGGGAGACAGAGAACGGGGTAAGACATGAAATGATCATCTATGACTCATCAAGGCTCATGAGGGGGCGGTGGGGAGGGGGAGAGGAGCTGACACCAAGCGCTCAAGTAGAAAGACAATGCTTTGAAAATGATGATGGCAACAAATGTGCTTAACACAATGGATGGATGTATGGATTGGGATAAGACAAAAGTATTTAATAATAAAAGAAAAACCTCTATAGGCCACTTAAACAAAAGAGCATTGAATAACTGGCCACTACTACTATTATAATATTTTACTATATTTTAATAGTTTCGCGTGCGATTTTTTGACTCACAGTATCTGCTGAAAGAGTGAGTCCAAGAAGCAGAAATAACTTCCCTTGACAATAAATTGCATTTTGCTGAGACCAACTATGTTTTGTGTTTGTTTTCCCTCAGGAGAGAATAGAATACTCCAAAACTTTCAAGGGGAAATATTTTAATTTTCTGGGTTACTTTTTCTCTATTTACTGTGTGTGGAAGATTTTCATGGTAAGTGTCTATTCAAATCTTATATCAATCTTTTAACTAGGCTATTTCCTTTTTTATTAGGTTTTGAGATTTTCCTATATTCTGGAAACTTTTATCAAATGTGTGGTTTCCAGATATTTTCTCCCAGTTTTGTTGGCTTAACTTG